CATGTATAATAAATAGTTTTGTAGATCATAAAGGAGGTGTAATTGGTAAAGTTAAGGTTAGAGAGATATTGTGTAATAAGCATTTGCTTAAGCATAATATTAATGGTTTTGCATGTAGTTGCATCTGTAATTGTAATTTGATTAGTTTATTTATATATAGCTAGAGCATTATTGTATAGATTAGTATATTCTTTTTGATATGCAAGAATAGTATTTGGATTTCTGGTAAAGGTAGTGAAGAACCTGATGTCGAGGTATCTAAATTTAAGAAAAATTGAGGTGGAATTACAAATTCAGTTGGTATAATAACAATTTTATGATCAATGAAGTTCTAAATGCCAGCTGGTATTTGAAGTGCTTCAGCAATTTTCTTATATGATCAAGTTTGTTGATCAAATGAGGTATTAATTTGTTCAGTAATTCTGGCCTGTATGGTTTCTGCTTATTCTGAGTCATCAATATCATTAAACCTAGGTATGTGAATTGTTTTTGAGTAATTTGGCTGTATTTAGGTCTGGTATTGTTAAGATTATCAGATATTATAGTTGTAGAGATTGGGGATACTATAGCTATAGCATTGGATGGTCCTAGTTCAGGTATTGTTTGTATATTAAGTGGTTGAAGCTTGGGTCATTTTTTGTTATAGTGTTGATTGGTTGTTGATTAGATTTTGGAAGATTTTGTTCTAAGTCTAGTAGTTTCAGTAGAATTATGTTGTGAGATAGAAAGGCATTTGTTTCTTTTGGTATTGGTATCTTATGTTGCCTGAGTAGTATTATGTAATATAGTAACTAATGACTGTGTTTGTATAATATTTGCTGCAGGGCCAGCAGTAATATCGAATGTAAGTTCATCATCTTGTAAAATGTTGCTTGTTTGTGATAGTTCATCTTTTGTATCAAGTTCTGTGATCATGTTGTATAGTATAAGTGGGAGATCTTTATTAAATATGGGTGCCTTGTATTCCTTTTAGGTTTTTTCATATAACTGAATTGTTAAGTTAAGGTCACAATTGCGTATACTTCTGGAATGTTGGCATTAATATTTATGGAATTGTTTCTTGTTATTATAAGATCAAAAAGTATTGATTGAGATAGTTCTTTGTGTTTGTATAACTATTGAGTTGAAAATGAAGTAAGATTAGATATATGACCAGATTTGGTAAGATCTACAGTAAAGAGATATTTGTCGATGAAGCTAGGAATAAGAAAAGTAACTGTAAAGATAAGTTTAGATATGTCTTTTATAGTAATATTGTTGAATTCTTTTGTATATTCAATAGGAGGATTAACAGTTAAAATTGTAGATGTAGGGTTACTTGAACTGGTAGATTTTCTAGTGAAATAGACTAATAGAGAAGAAAAGAAAGTGTCTTGAGAGGTTGTTTGGTTCGAAGTTAGTGGTGGGTTGGTTTGTAGGTTATTTGTAGTTTTTTTGTTATTTTTTGAAACTGCCATCTTATGCTTATATGCTGGTTAATAAAGATGTAAAGGTCTTTAGAACCACTTTCACTGAATTGTGAATTGTTTGTTGCAATGCTGTTTTTGATGTTATTGTAATTCAAGACTGTTAGTAAATATTTTTTCCTGAGGTTTGCACCTTTTTTAGGTCAAGTTTACTGTTTAGAACAAGTTTACTTAATGGTTCAAGGTTGATTTACTTAGTAGTTATTGCTCTATGTTCGATATAAAATTTTTCTTTTTTTGTTCAATTTAGGTAAAGTGATTTATGGAAAAGAGTTATCTTGGTCTGTCAAAGTTTGAATTTGAACTGATTTTGTGAAGTACTAGATAGTTCTTATGATAATTTTTCGGAAGATTCGTAGTGCGAAATGCAAATCTTAAACTTTAGCCAATAAATAATTCTACGATAAAAAAATATGGTCTCGACTATTTTCCTTTTCATTGTGATAATGAGCTTACTTGACTATTTAAATTATGTCCCACTAATTAAAATTGAGCACCGTTCTATTAATTTAGGCATTTGAGAACACCTTTAATAATATAGATAAGTGCCATCAAGAAAAACCTGGCTTCAGGCTTTCAATTCTGTTCTGTACAAGAAATAGTCACTTATAAATCAAATAGATCGAATCAAGTATAAAATAAAATTGAAAGTCTGATGACAGGTTTTTCTTATCCGACTCAGGCAGATTCGTTGAATGTAATGTACACTTAAGAAACTAGAAGTAACATGAGTTATAATATGTAGTTGTTTAAAAAAAGCATATTAAAATATTATAATTAACCAATCAATTCAATTTACGAATAAGTTATATTGTGCTAATCTATGCATTAAAGTTTCTACGTAAAGTTATGCATATTAGACAACCATTACATATTCATGTATCAGAAATGCACATTTTTTAACATTAATGTAATTAATTCCTATATAATTTATACTCATCGTTGATAACAGGTAAATATTTTATAGAATTAAATAATGGGTTGAATACCTCTATCGAATAAAGAGTCGAATACTTTAATAAGTGTTATATCCCTATCATTTAATGATACTAGCTATTGTTAAAATAACACAAAGTGATACACATAACATCTCAACATATTTTTAGTTAAATGGCATCTAATTCCTAAAAAGTATTAGCGAAACATTACATTCTCTGAAAGTGCGTATTTTAAAATCGATATGCCTTATCAAATTCTAATACAAATACAAATACGTCATACATTTTGTCCCAAATTTCTAGTTTAAATATGGCAAAAAAATAAAAATTAAATTATAAATAAGTTAGATTTTAATAAAAGTTTAAGCTAATGATATTTTTTTAAACCATTCATTTTGTCCCAAATCTATCCAAACCGTCTCGTGCATAATACTATCTGTCTGTAGATAGTTTTGTTTTATAATAGATGTATTGTTTCAAGAGTGTTTTATACAGGCATATTTGTGTTGTAACCCGAATAGATGTCGTTAATGCTCTATACTTATTATATTGTAAACCTTTACAATGACCATAATGATTATTATTGTTATGTATATTCGCATCTGAAGTAGCAATTTATCTAAAGTAGCTACTTTACATAAGTAGATGCGCAATGCAGTTGCGCAATGCCAGAATGGGAGAAATCTATGCAGACACTATTTCAGTTACTGGTAAACTATAATCTTCATTGTAATCCATTCCTGGTATAAGAAAATGACTCTTTATAAAAGAAGTCGATAGTGGTTTGAATTTCAGTGACTTAAGGATATTACCCGGGTCAGAAAATAGTGATCCAGGTTTGATCTGGGTCAGAAATGTTGATCTGCATCATGACCTGGGTCAACAAATCGGGTGGGTTAAAGTTTATTACAGTGTAATGACACTTATATAAAATTGGCGTAATGGCTCTTAAATAAAGTTAATCATTGAATTAGTCAAGTACTGTATTACAAAACAAATTGCCAAGTATCGAACACTCACATTTCATTGTTAAATACTCAATAAATAAGTTATAATAATTACGTATATTGAGAAAGTCAGGACTGGTTCTAGATAGGACTCGACTTTCGGGATGGTTACACAAGGGCCTAGGGCTATTATTCTAACTAAAACCTACTTTACAATACACCAAAGTCCTAATTGGCAGGCTTCGATCAAGGCGTGGAAAGACTTGGTCTGAGTTTTAGGTCTTGTAGCGTATTGCTGCGGTTTTTCTCTAGTACTGGGGTTTTTATAGATAAGTATTAGGCTCTTAATTCTAGTTTTGTTAATACTTTACTATAGCCTTTACTAAAGTATCTTATCCAACTTTCAAGTTTTCAGGTGCAAGTCACGGGATCTGAAATCATGGGGTCACGATATTCAGCGATTTCGGATAAGTAAACCTTATTATTTGGATTCGATGACGTTGATCACAAACTTAATCACTTTAATAGGTTTATATTTAAGGGTCTTAAATTGAAATTCAACTAATTTTACACTCTTTCTCTAAACTAAGGATTATGATTTTATGATCACGGGGACAAGGTAACAAAATATAAACTCAGTTTATGTTAAAAAGGAAACTTAGACACTTCAATTGAACTCCACTGAGTTGTTTTATTTGAGGTAAAATCGATCATTTTTATATCTTATTTTTACATATTCATATAAAGAATATATCTAATTTAATTATACTTTCGCTCTTATTTTACACCTCCCATCTATTTTACCTTTCATTTGGATCAACTCTTTTTACTTTATTTAACTGATTTGGTCGATCTACCCGTTTTGAGAAATAACATAAATAACAAATAGAATAAATAAAAAAAATAGAACAATAAAAGAAAAAGAATTTTCATGCTATGTCAGATGCATAGCACCACTAGGGTGAGTAATTTTGACTTTTACAACATATGTACGGTGCAGGAAATTTAAAAACCTCAATCTCTTTGTATAGAGATATGCATAAATATTATAAATCTCAATAGAATAAAAGATCAAGAATTCTCAGTCTTTTTGCATAGAAATAATATGCCAAGAAGGATTGTACTTATTAGCAATTATTCTATGCATACTAAAATAAAGCTGCTACTGAAAATGACATATTTAGGTTATATCTCATGTGTTAGTTGGCCTTTGCTCTATATAAAGTGATTGAGGTTTTTAGACTTCCTGCACTGTATGTTTAATACAGCAATATAAAGATTGTCTTTCATTTGGCTGAAACATAAATTTCTTATAAATAACAATTGCATGAGTCTAATGTTACAAAACCTTGTTCAATACGTTAAAGAGAAGAATTATGATACTCAAAATATAAACATCAAATAAATTTTTGTATATATGTACATTAATTCATTATTACTGACTTTGTTCTTATAGCTATCTTATATTATTAAACAATTTTTTTGTATAATAATTAGAAGTAAAGAATATTATTCATCACGACTTATTACATTTTTGTTGTTTGACTAAATACTATAATATAGTAAAATAATTATACTTTTAAAGAATAACTTGATTTATCAAAAAAAAAAAAAAGGTTACAAATTTCAATTAGCAAAGCCAATAAACAATGGGTGATGAGTATTCGGATAATGAGTACCTGGATAATATGTATTTAGATGATGAGTATGATGATGAGTATTTGGAGAATGAGTATTTGGAGGATGAGTATTTGAAGGAAATGATATTAGAGTGTGAAGATACTAATATGGAGAGATTAGAATCCAATAATATGGATGGTTTAAACAGTAACGAAGCTTCACCGCAACCTTCTATATCAGTACATATTAATAAGCATCATCTGGTTAAAAAGCGAAAAAACAAATTGAAAAACCAGGTGGTAGTGCTGTTAAATTTTTTTATAAAACAGTATTAAATAATAATGTAAAGTATTGGGCCTGTCATCACAAAATTTGCATACCACAAGTAAAGTACCAGAAGGACGGTTCTACTTCAAACTTATGGCGACATATAAGGAGTAAACATCATATCTCAAGGGCTATGATAGAAAATGGCAGAGTAAAAATCATGTCAAATGATAATGATAAATGTAAATTTTCTATAATGGCAGAGTCTTTACAACTAACAATAAAACAAGTATTCGATAATATAAAAAAATATGCATTTAATCATCCCAAACAGAAAAAACTTGATAACAATATAGCTGCATTTATTATTGAGAATCTTCAACCATTTTCAGTACTTCGATCACAAGTATTTAAAAGAATAATAGAAGGACTTGATGTTTAGGCCAATGTTCTTAGTATAGATCATTTGAAAGAAATTTTTATAAATAGCGAAGATAAAATTTTAAAAAAGATTCGTAAGTATATAATTAACAATACTGAAATTAGTAGTATTTTATTTACTACTGATATGTGGACGTCAGACAATGGTGATCTATATATTGGGCTTATGCTCCACTGGAATAATAGTAATTTTCAAATAAAAGAGATTATTGGTAATATTTCATATCTTCCATATCCTCACACAGCCGAATGTCTTTCTAACAAAATAGTCGAAATTTTAGATAATCTTCAACTTAAAAATGTAACTGTTTGTGATACAATTGATAATGGATCAAATATTAAATCATATTTAAAAAAATTAGAGTGAAAATATAGTATATATAAGTTTTTTGTTTTGGATACACATTACAACTTGTGATTAACGATGCATTAAAAAAGTGTCCTGAGATTACAAATTTAATAAAAAAATGTAAAGATATAGTATCAAAATTTAGTGTAAGTCCAAAGCAAAAACAATTTCTTTTAGAAGCGCAAATGGAGATGGAAGACTGGAATAAACTTCTTACTGTAGTTTGTGATGTATCAACAAGGTGGAATTTGACATTTTATTTATTAAAACGATTAACTGTTCTTAAACCTGCATTGTATAAGTATAAGTTACTTTTAGTCGAAACTGATAACAATAACTTATTAAAAAATTATGAAGAAAAGGAACTATCGTTAGATGATTGGGATAAAGTAACTGGATTAGTCAAATTATTGTATCCTTATGAAGTTATTTCTAAAAAATTATCTGGTTCGCAATATCCAACACTTTCACAAGCATGGTTTGTGATTAATTTTATTAAAGTTAAGCTTGATTGTGCTATAACAAATTATACTGATATTCAAAATTTTAGAAAATTTCTTTATGAGTCTATTCAAACACAATTTTTAGAACCAACAAAGCCAATTTAGCTTGCTGCTTTCTTTGACTCACGAACCAAAGATATGCAAATATTTACAAAAGAAGAGAGAGATCTTACTATTTCAGAAGCACTTATCAAATATGAATTAACTTCTAATTCTTATGAAACTGATACATTAAATACAGGTAGGATTGTAAAATTACCATAATATTACACAATCTTGTATAAGTTTTGGTAAAATGAGTTTCATGTAATTTGTAAATGTGATTATTTTATATCAATATGGTTTTATGTGATTAGTTAAATCATATGTATCGATTTGATAAACTAGATTACCACTCAAATTTATTTCAGATAATGCGATATTAATATAATTTTAATAAGCATCATTATTACATCATTATTACATCATTCACAGTAAAAATAATATTCTTTAAATTACATAATCTGAAATAATTTGGGTGATGAACCTATTTATTGAAATTCAACAATGCTAGTTAAGTTTTTTTATAGTAATGGTACTGTTTATTACATGTGAAATTTATATGAAATCTATATTACTGAAACATGTAAAATTACAGTATTGTAAGATGATAAAATGTAATTTTTTTAACCCTAAATACAGGAGACCAATTAGATATGACAGCATCTTATGACAAAATAGATAATGAAGACATTTTTGCTCCATCAGCCACTGACTTTCAAGAATATTCTGATCAACAATACAGTACAAGCCGTGAGTTCAATTCATATCTTTTGCTACCAAAGGCTTCAAGTGAAACAGATATACTTCAGTAGTGGGCATTAAGAAAAAATGATTACCTAATTCTGGCAAAGCTTGCTCGGAAATACTTAGCAATTCCAGCAACTTCTGTGCCATCAGAATGCCTTTTCTCATCCGCAGGTCTTACCATTACTGATAATCGTACACGACTTAATCCTCAATTTGTTGAAACAATCTTATTTCTTAAAGCGGCCTTAAAACTTTGGCCAGTTTCTCACATTTTTGAATAGGTAATAAAAAAAATTTATATTAAAATATGATTAATTGAAATTCAAACTTTATAATCTAATAAACTTTATTGAATTAATAAAAAAGGATTAAATAGTTGAACAGACTTGAAGTACAAAAATAATAGGAAATTGAGCCACAAATATTTAAAAAATTAATTTGTAAAGTATTTATTGGTTTAAATAGAAATTGAACATTCACACTAAGAATTAGTGATGCAACTCATCGTATAATAGTCTAAATAGAAAATCACCCGAAGTAGTCATTAAGAAATCGATCCTAATAATGCATCGGCCAAGTCAATATAAATAATTATATTAGTTTGTAAAAAATTTAAAAAAAGCTTATTGTTAAAACAAGCAAAAAAAAAGTGTTATTGAATCAGATACTTTATTATATCTAGAATTTTCTAATTCAAAAGGACAATAAATAGCGTGCGTAGAGATTGGACCTGTTGAGAAAATTAAATTACCCAGGTTATCCGGGTAAATTATTATTTCAGGTAATCATTTAGAAACAATTTCTACCCGGGTCCAATCCCTAGACGTGCGATTAATTTATACAATAATAATTTTGGCAATTGTTAACTTGTTTTTGACAAATAAATAAATTTTTGACGCATTTGGTATCTAACCCGTTTGACCCGTTTGACCCGTTTGACCCGGGTTAGATAAAATTTGACCCGTGACCCGCGGGTTGTTGACCCGCACGGGTCAACGTGACCCGGGTAACATCCCTACAGTGACTGAGCCTAAAAACCTATTGATGAAATCAATTCGATAAAAAAAACCATAGAGACCTTTAAATTTATATTGAGCTACTAATTTTTGTGTCTAAAAAAATTATTATTGCTATAGTTTACTATTGCATCTTTGATTTTACAGATGTATGCGCTCATTTATAAGTTTTTTTTTTATAAAGTAAATTTAGATAATAAACACAAGAGTTTTGTACATCATGCAGATATATGAAAAATAAATTGAATGATGAATAAGTCATGTGGACCAATCAATTCCAAGATTTTGTGTACAGAGGCATTTGTTCCTGGTATCTACTTTTTAAAGTATTGTTCGGGGTGCTACACAAAGTCATAATCACATACTTCTTACTCGTTCCTGGTATTTTACTTAATAAACCAATTTAACATCTTAATTACTTCCATAGGTTCGATAAAGGAAATTATAATTTTTTTGTCTTGCACAATTGTAATTTACAGGTTATGTCTTTCAAATCATTACTGTAACTATGTTACTGACCTCTTGATTTCTCTTTTATCTATTACTTACACATATTACTATACAGATACATTTTTTCTTATATCTTCTATATATACACAGTGACCCTCTATAAACTAAGTCTGTATATGTTGGATACTAATTAATTATATTAATTTGATAATTGATTTAATCATTAATTTAATCACCTAATTTAATCATATTTAATGCTAATACATAATCTCAAGTTTTATAAATTCATTATGTTGCAATTTATTCATATTTATAATGTTACATGGAATTGTGTAACTAGCTTATTATATGTGTAAGATATAGTGAAATACTTCATATAGTCAAGCCTTCTTTATACAGTATATAATCACACTAATTTTTAGAACAACCGTTTATAAAAACATGAGTCATTTTGCTTATTTACAGGCTCAATTTCTAACAAGCGAAGAAATTCTTGGAACGGAATCGAACTTTATTTTTTGTCGGAATACGAATAACAAATACAAAAGAATTAGAGATAAAAATTGTTAATCGAAATCAGAAAGTTACGTTAGCTTTGCTGATATTCATAATTTATTACATGTATTACCACTATTTTGTCTATAATATTATGAAGGCTTGTCAGACTTACCTTAAAGCCAAGGACAGAATAAATATGTAACCAATTAAAAAGCCCAGAAAAGTTAAATAAATGAATGTAAAGTAATCGTATAGTAATATATATTGTACGTTGTAACGGGTGTTTCAAGCCTTAACCTTGATGTGATTAGCTCATGGTCGTAATCGAGCACAACTATGATTATATTTTTTATAACAAATCAAATCTGCAGGTTATGCACAATCGTAATAAACGTGACGATACTCATTTACCATTCAAAATAAGAATTGTACTTAATTGTTATTTTATCAAATGTAGTTTAGTTTAGTTCGTTAATATTCAGATGCTTCATGATAAGGGTCATGTGCGATCGTTTTGAATACTCAATTAATTGTAAGCCTAGAATGTAAGCTTAGAATATTTGTAAATTGAGATGATAAACTTCTGTATTATTTTTTTACTAACAAACTTTGCTAAATTACGATGTTTATTTAAGTATTTATTACGATAATAAAGTCGTTTGGCCGTAAAATATTTTCCGCTAGTAAAAGTTATTCAATGATACTTAAGGCATTTGAGAACGCCCATTGTTAATGACTTTATAGGTAGTCAAAAAAATGAAAGAATCTTTTCATTATAATCATTGCTTGACATTCTTATGAGATCCACAAGTGTAAATAAACTTCTAATGCATAAATCTGAAAACATTGAGAATATGGATATAATTGTAATCGTTTGTACACAAATTTATTCTCAAGAAAGTTATTCACTCATCTCGACCAGCTTTACACGGTTTCTATAAAGT